TGACATTTGTTTAGTGAAAATGACACTTAAATTTTAGTCCTTGTTTGGATTGCAGTTTTCCGTCGGAAAATTACGTTGTTTTTCGTGACCTTTTTCTCTGATGAGACTCTTATGATGAGACGGCAAAACTTAAGAATGCTATTAGTAACTTTGTGCTCCTAAGCATTTGTTTAGTGAAAATGACACTTAAATTTTAGTCCTTGTTTGGATTGCAGTTTTCCGTCGGAAAATTACGTTGTTTTTCGTGATCACATTTCCCTATTACCTTTTTCTCTCACTGATGATTCCTCATCCTATCTAATTCAAGACTCTTACAATGATGAGACGAACTTCATGCAAAACTTATTTGGGAGCAATAATCTCAATGCCTCCTCGTTCAGTGAGAACAATAAAGGAAAGGCTCCTCTAGACATTGAGATTGATCGAAAGAACAAGTGTTCTACTACATTTAATCCTTTTGGATATAGCAGCTTTAGTGGTAATAATCAGTGTTTTGGTGGGAATCGGGATTATGGGCTTTTTCCATTGCCGACCAAATCCTATTTAGGTGGTCTCATGAAAATAATCAGTCAGCTGGTATGTACTTGGACCTCTATCTCTCTCATATATTAGATGGAGGCAATGCCTTAACTACTCCTCTTGACCCAAGCAACATGAAAACTTCGAGACAGTGATGATAAATCAAGCCAGTCCTTCATTTAGAAAGGAGGTGGACTTGATGGAGATGGTCCCGGATTCAGAATTTAGTGGCAAGAATGCTATTAGTAACTTTGTGCTCTAACATTTGTTTAGTGAAAATGACACTTAAATTTTAGTCCTTGTTTGGATTGCAGTTTTCCGTCGGAAAATTACGTTGTTTTTCGTGATCACATTTCCCTATTACCTTTTTCTCTCACTGATGATTCCTCATCCTATCTAATTCAAGACTCTTACAATGATGAGACGAACTTCATGCAAAACTTATTTGGGAGCAATAATCTCAATGCCTCCTCGTTCAGTGAGAACAATAAAGGAAAGGCTCCTCTAGACATTGAGATTGATCGAAAGAACAAGTGTTCTACTACATTTAATCCTTTTGGATATAGCAGCTTTAGTGGTAATAATCAGTGTTTTGGTGGGAATCGGGATTATGGGCTTTTTCCATTGCCGACCAAATCCTATTTAGGTGGTCTCATGAAAATAATCAGTCAGCTGGTATGTACTTGGACCTCTATCTCTCTCATATATTAGATGGAGGCAATGCCTTAACTACTCCTCTTGACCCAAGCAACATGAAAACTTCGAGACAGTGATGATAAATCAAGCCAGTCCTTCATTTAGAAAGGAGGTGGACTTGATGGAGATGGTCCCGGATTCAGAATTTAGTGGCAAAAATGCTATTAGTAACTTTGTGCTCTAACATTTGTTTAGTGAAAATGACACTTAAATTTTAGTCCTTGTTTGGATTGCAGTTTTCCGTCGGAAAATTACGTTGTTTTTCGTGATCACATTTCCCTATTACCTTTTTCTCTCACTGATGATTCCTCATCCTATCTAATTCAAGACTCTTACAATGATGAGACGAACTTCATGCAAAACTTATTTGGGAGCAATAATCTCAATGCCTCCTCGTTCAGTGAGAACAATAAAGGAAAGGCTCCTCTAGACATTGAGATTGATCGAAAGAACAAGTGTTCTACTACATTTAATCCTTTTGGATATAGCAGCTTTAGTGGTAATAATCAGTGTTTTGGTGGGAATCGGGATTATGGGCTTTTTCCATTGCCGACCAAATCCTATTTAGGTGGTCTCATGAAAATAATCAGTCAGCTGGTATGTACTTGGACCTCTATCTCTCTCATATATTAGATGGAGGCAATGCCTTAACTACTCCTCTTGACCCAAGCAACATGAAAACTTCGAGACAGTGATGATAAATCAAGCCAGTCCTTCATTTAGAAAGGAGGTGGACTTGATGGAGATGGTCCCGGATTCAGAATTTAGTGGCAAGAATGCTATTAGTAACTTTGTGCTCTAACATTTGTTTAGTGAAAATGACACTTAAATTTTAGTCCTTGTTTGGATTGCAGTTTTCCGTCGGAAAATTACGTTGTTTTTCGTGATCACATTTCCCTATTACCTTTTTCTCTCACTGATGATTCCTCATCCTATCTAATTCAAGACTCTTACAATGATGAGACGAACTTCATGCAAAACTTATTTGGGAGCAATAATCTCAATGCCTCCTCGTTCAGTGAGAACAATAAAGGAAAGGCTCCTCTAGACATTGAGATTGATCGAAAGAACAAGTGTTCTACTACATTTAATCCTTTTGGATATAGCAGCTTTAGTGGTAATAATCAGTGTTTTGGTGGGAATCGGGATTATGGGCTTTTTCCATTGCCGACCAAATCCTATTTAGGTGGTCTCATGAAAATAATCAGTCAGCTGGTATGTACTTGGACCTCTATCTCTCTCATATATTAGATGGAGGCAATGCCTTAACTACTCCTCTTGACCCAAGCAACATGAAAACTTCGAGACAGTGATGATAAATCAAGCCAGTCCTTCATTTAGAAAGGAGGTGGACTTGATGGAGATGGTCCCGGATTCAGAATTTAGTGGCAAGAATGCTATTAGTAACTTTGTGCTCTAACATTTGTTTAGTGAAAATGACACTTAAATTTTAGTCCTTGTTTGGATTGCAGTTTTCCGTCGGAAAATTACGTTGTTTTTCGTGATCACATTTCCCTATTACCTTTTTCTCTCACTGATGATTCCTCATCCTATCTAATTCAAGACTCTTACAATGATGAGACGAACTTCATGCAAAACTTATTTGGGAGCAATAATCTCAATGCCTCCTCGTTCAGTGAGAACAATAAAGGAAAGGCTCCTCTAGACATTGAGATTGATCGAAAGAACAAGTGTTCTACTACATTTAATCCTTTTGGATATAGCAGCTTTAGTGGTAATAATCAGTGTTTTGGTGGGAATCGGGATTATGGGCTTTTTCCATTGCCGACCAAATCCTATTTAGGTGGTCTCATGAAAATAATCAGTCAGCTGGTATGTACTTGGACCTCTATCTCTCTCATATATTAGATGGAGGCAATGCCTTAACTACTCCTCTTGACCCAAGCAACATGAAAACTTCGAGACAGTGATGATAAATCAAGCCAGTCCTTCATTTAGAAAGGAGGTGGACTTGATGGAGATGGTCCCGGATTCAGAATTTAGTGGCAAGAATGCTATTAGTAACTTTGTGCTCTAACATTTGTTTAGTGAAAATGACACTTAAATTTTAGTCCTTGTTTGGATTGCAGTTTTCCGTCGGAAAATTACGTTGTTTTTCGTGATCACATTTCCCTATTACCTTTTTCTCTCACTGATGATTCCTCATCCTATCTAATTCAAGACTCTTACAATGATGAGACGAACTTCATGCAAAACTTATTTGGGAGCAATAATCTCAATGCCTCCTCGTTCAGTGAGAACAATAAAGGAAAGGCTCCTCTAGACATTGAGATTGATCGAAAGAACAAGTGTTCTACTACATTTAATCCTTTTGGATATAGCAGCTTTAGTGGTAATAATCAGTGTTTTGGTGGGAATTGGGATTATGGGCTTTTTCCATTGCCGACCAAATCCTATTTAGGTGGTCTCATGAAAATAATCAGTCAGCTGGTATGTACTTGGACCTCTATCTCTCTCGTACTCCCTCCATCCCACTTTGATAGTTCTGTTTCTTTTTTCACACATTTTAAGAAAAAGTAGTTAATTTTATTGGAAAAGTAAATTTAGATTGCTATTTTTCTAAAATACCCTCACATTAAATATGGTATAACTTTATGGAAAATTGAATTGATGGTCAAAAAGGAATCAACTCTCATTAAATGAGGTAGGTTTATAGTAACAACTACTTACATTGAATAAGGGTATTTTAGAAAAATTAAAATACAACTACATTCTTCAATGGGAAAGTGGACTACAATTTGGGACAGATAAAAAAGAAATACAGGACTATCAAAGTGGGACGGAGAGAGTATATTAGATGGAGGCAATGCCTTAACTACTCTTCTTGACCCAAGCAACATGAAAACTTCGAGACAGTGATGATAAATCAAGCCAGTCCTTCATTTAGAAAGGAGGTGGACTTGATGGAGATGGTCCTGGATTTAGAATTTAGTGGCAAGAATGCTATTACTAACTTTGTGCTCTAACATTTGTTTAGTGAAACCGACGCTTAAATTTTAGGCCTTGTTTGGATTGCAGTTTTTCGTCGGAAAATTACGTTGTTTTTCGTGATCACATTTTTTTATTATCTTTTTCCTTTCACATACATCAAATCGCTACAGTAATTTTTTCATGAAAAATAATGAAAAATGCAATCCATTAAAGGACTTTTGGAGTTTTACAAGCTTTTAAATATTAATGTGGAACCAAAACTTGAGCACCTTAAGCTTAGTTCCAGCTTTGGCTAGGATTGGCATATTCTGGACAATTTGCTCAAAACTAGTCAAAAAAGTATGTTTATTGATGATTATGTTTTATTATATGAACGATTTTCTTGTTTTAGTGTTTTTGCTCTTTAGGTATTAGTTTTCGGTCCTCAATTGCATGCATATGATCTTTTTATTGAATCAGTGTTTCATCCTTACAATGTCCTTTTTCACATTATGTTCACTTCTGCCTTAGAAATGTGTATATTTTTTAATGAAGTAAAAAGTCAATTACGTTTTATTACTTTTACTATGATTTCCTTAAATAAGATTTTCACAAATACTATTCCGAAAAGACATTGAAAGGATTTCAATTCCACGTTTTTCACATGGATGAACATTTAGTTAATATATTTCATGTTTTCAACCAAATTAAAAAAAAAAAAAACAAATTTTAACATTTGAGCAAATCATTCAAAGTCCGGCCTGATCAGCAGAGCTGAAGTCCGGTCAGACCGTCAATGCCAAAACCGGTCATTGATTCCTCATTCCTCATTTAAAAACTCCAGCTTCTTACCAAACCCTTTACCTCTTCCTTTCCAGTTTCACTCTGCAAAACCTCTAAAACCTTTCCCCCAAAATCACAGAGGAAAAAAAATATTTTTTTCATCAATGGATTCAACTTTGATCATGGCATCATCATCACCATCTTCCTTCCTTCACCATAATCTAACCTCAAAGTTGTATCAACCCGTTTTCAATTTCAAACACTCTTCTTTTAGGCCTCTGAACAGTAGAAACTTCACCATTATCAAAGCTTCTTCAGATTGTAGTTCAAGTTCAAATCCTAGTTCTAATCCCTCCAATCCAGATCCTTTAATTTCCAGTCTGAAAACGACCACTGCAGCCATAGTTTTTGCCGCCGCAGTTTTTGGAAAGTTCCACCAGTTGCCGGCCAGGGCCAGCCCTCCATCACCACCACCAACTCTTGAAAAACAAGAGGAGATATTGGAAGAAGAAACCCATAAGGGAAGATTTGAAGAAGATCAAGAAAATTCCCCGTTGACCCAGTTTTTGGAATCCAATTCTGAGGCTGTTGAGGCCTTGAAAAGCTTGCTCCAGCAGAAACTCGAGGTGGGCGAGGATGAGGAGGGGTTGAAGATATTGAGGAAGTTAAGCTCAGCACAGCCGGAGAATACAGAGTGGAAGTTTTTGATGGCTAGGCTGTTGAATGAAATGGGGAAAACTCAAGAATCAAGAGAGGTTTTTGAAGAGATTTTAGTGAGAAACCCATTGTTGTTTGAGGCATTGTTTGAAAATGCGTTGTTGATGGACAGGTGTGGAGAAGGGGCCGCGGTTTTGAGGAGATTAGAGGAGGCATTGAAGATAGCTGAGGAGGAGAAGAAGGTGAAAGAGGCTAGAGATGTGAGGTTTATAATGGCACAAGTACAGTTCTTGCAGAAGAATGTGGAGGAAGCATTACAGAGCTACGAGGAGCTTGAGAAGGAGGACCCTACAGATTTTAGGCCTTACTTTTGTAAAGGGATGATTTATAGTTTGCTGGATAGGAATAAAGAAGCTAGAGAACAATTTGCCAAGTATCGCGAGCTTTCACCTAAGAAATTCGAGGTTGAAGGCTACTTGAGGACTCCATTATCAAGGATGAAGCTTTTTGGAACTGATGAGAACGAGAATTGAGTTTTTGGCTTCTGATTCAGAGTTTTGATGGATTGGTTGTATGTTCTGTTCTCTGCCAACTTGGAGGCCAGAAACTCATCGGGCAGCGTGAGTTTTTTTTTTTGAAGTTCATGACGAAATTTAGCGAATTTGGTCGCTTAACTGTAAGCTAGAGATGCTTTTGATGAGATGAATAATGGATACAGTCTTTGTAGTTTATATGAAATAAGTAACATAAGAATCAGTTCTTTACTTTGATTTGCTGTCCATCCTATTGTGCTTAGAATTGATGATTAGATCAACACAGCTGACAGAATTGACCTCGATGACTTGCTTCCTGCTTTGTGTCATCTATTGATTTCTCATGTTTTGTTAAAATTGGTATGCTGCGGCCTAATTAGTTCAGACCCGTGGTCTCAGTTGAGAAATTGAAAGTTTGTACATTTGGTGGATAATTTAGATTCAGAATTGCTTCCTGCTCTGTCTCATCTATTGATTTGTCATGCTTTGTTAAAGTTGATATGCTGGGGTCTAATTAGTTCAGACCCGTGGTCTCAATTGAGTAATTGGAAGTTGTACATTTGGTGAATAATTTAGATTCTAAGTATTCAAAGCAAGCACTACATTCTGTGCAAAAGTTTACATTTTTAGAGATGATCCCGCTTTTCTATCTCTGTTGGTTTTAGTGAAAATTGATCCTGCAAAGGGTTCTAAGAAACATTAGATCCAATCTGCTTACTCATTTAATCGTTTATAAGTGACATTACAATTTGCCTTGTATATTTTCCAGAAATTTCTGCTTTCCCAACCATAAATGAAAGGAAAAAATGTCATCAAATGAAACTTTCCAAAATGCAAAAAAGGGGTTCAGTAACAATTGAAGTTGAGGATGCTAGACAAATAAATCAACTGTGCAGTCTACTTCATGTAACATTACTTTTGTTTCTCGTGAAGAAGACTGGTAAAGCAAAACTAAAAAGAATAAAAAAGAATAGGAAAAGGACATATGTAGTATCAGGACTGGTTTATGGAAATTACGGTTATTCTGTTTCTTGTTTTGAAGGAACTCAAACTTCAGTTTGTTGACTCCAAGCAAGCAAATTTTATTTATGTTTTCCCTTCTCACTTGCTTTAGTTGTTTTCTTGCCTTTCTATTACAATATCATGAGTCATTGGTCATTAATTCCCGGTATTGCAGTCATGAGTACACACTGGTGATGCACTCCATGCTGGTACCATGGATATAGATCAGAAATTAAGATGAACTCATAAAACTATTGAGGTTTTTTTCAATTGGAAATTGAAACTCTTTAATTAATTCTTTTTAGTGGTTATGCTATAGCTAAAATCATTTGGACAAAATTGTATGAATTTGTGTTGATACTTTATAACCTAGGCCTAGATTGAACAGTAATTGTTTTACCAGTGCGTGAATGTATTTGGCTCTCCTTGTCTGTGATGGGTGGCTATGGCCTGCTGCAATATCTGCTGCTGCATAAGGTAATCACTGACAGGTAAAGCGTAATAGAGTCAGAGAGCTGGTGCTTGCCAGGGTTAAAGAGGCTGTTGGAATGAGTCTTGGATTTTCTTTGTTTCTTTTGAGATGTTGAGTCCAGTTGGGGAGTGGGTTCGAGGTGGTTGAAGATCTGAAACAACTTGACTCTCTTAAGAAGTGTCAGTCATTTGCAATTACTATTGGAAGTGAAAACTATGAACAATTACATAGTTTCTCTTATATGCATAAACAGCATCCTGAACCTTGATAACAGTACATTAATTTTTGTAAAGTGAATGATGATGGATGTAGCTTTTCCAGAGACGAATTTCTCAACAGATTCATTAATTGTAATTCTCAAAACTCCTGCTGTCCCTGATTGAATCTGACTTTCTTCTCCTCTCTCAAGTTTTCAGTTTGGTCATGAATTTTGACAAGCAGTGCATACGTGAGTGCTGCTTACACATGACACTGATAAAAGTTGATTGGTACTCTTATTTATCATGATTAGAGATGCAAGTTGTTTTTACTACAGTTCATCCTGTGCTAGCAACGTGCAGTTAAGTGAATTGACCAAACTTGGCAAATGCGCTGCATTTCATAGATTGGTGTTCATCCTAATGACCTTTCAACTCCTGATCTTACCATCTGTTATTGTTCTGTGCAAGGTTTGGTCTCTATTATTTTCAATTTGTATTAAAGAGAGGGCCTTGTTTCTGTGGTCCATCAGCATCAAAATGGAACGGCTAGCTCAGACAAGCAAAACTTCCAGGTATTGATGCACTGCGATATGCAGCTTCAGAATTTCACTGTAGGTGTAGCTGCTAACCTACGGATCAGTTAAAATTTACCCTGTGGATGTTAAGGCAGTTAAAATTTACCCTGTGGATGTTCCTGAGAGGTAAACGTCCATGTATGGAGCTGGGTTGTGTGGTAATGACAAATTGTTTTTGTCATTTAGGACAGTCCAACTTCCATCCTCGATTGCTGCCCTGATTGAACTTTCATAAAGACGAGAAATAGTCTTACATAATTGTTGTTGACACATGGAATGGTTTGAACATGAACATGCATGCTGTTTCCTCTCCTGTATTTCTATAGAGTTAGTTCTTAAATAAATGACTTGAAGGACTCGCTTGTTAAAGGGAAATTTCTGTCTGCAGGAAAAGATTTTTTTTTTTTTTTGGCTGTCCTGTAAAATCGAAACAATTGTATGAAAGTGGTTGGATTGCATTTTGTTTCCCTTTCTTTTTTCTTTCCGGGTCACAGAAGTTACCCTGAAGACACCCCAGCTTAACAACTTTTCCTGGCATTTATTAAAAGGCACATTTGGGGACAATGAGTGCTTCTTTTGATTTGTCTGTAATGTGCTAACAGTGTTAGATGATTCCTTAAACATATCTGTTAGATGATTCGATAAACGTATCTTAAATCAACACATAGTTTTCGTTTTTCTGATAGATTATTTTACTTGAGAGTTTCTGCTGAATGCAGCAGCATATCCATTTTTTGTGGCTTTTCTTATCTGGAGTGAAGAGACCAAAAATGTTGTGCTTTAAGATGTAAAGTGGATTCACAAGTTCCAACATTGTCACCCTGTCCTGCTAATTTACTACTGTTTCAGTTAAAATGGGATTTCTCTGATGTATTTTACTCACTAAGAAGTCAGAATACTACCATTTGGGGATAGTGCATCACATCTCACAATCTACCTTCTTGTAACTTCTCTAATCTCACAAGGAGCTGTGATGATGCATGTAAATGAAATATTGGTCATTTATGTGAAATAAGCAAAAAAGAAAAATGATTTGGCCAAGAAGATGTCCCTGAAATTGTAAATAGACACCAAAAATTCTTGTACTTGGATTTTTCTGAAAATCCATTGACAGTGGTGTTAGAAGAAAAGACACTTAATTATTTATCGCGTAAATGGTGCACTCGAGTGAGTTGTCGCCATATTAACTATTATTTGTTAATTTTAACATATGGAAGAAAATTTGGGGCGTGTAATTTTGATAGTTTTTGTTAATGTGGTGCTTTTTCTTGCCCTTTTCGTGCTCTAGATAATATTGATGCATTGAGGTTATTGACATTCGACAATGGAACTTATTTCATTCTAAAGCTGCGTTCGTGTGATTTAATTACTATTTTTTATGAAGGCTTTAGGTGTGGATGCAAATTTAATCAAATTAATGAACTTGCATTTGTCAGCCCCCACAGGTAGTTCGACGGATTCTGTAATCTGATAGTTACCAGCAGGTCCCGTAATTAACCTTATATGCTGACTTGTTGTATATTCTTAAGGCAAAACTCTACACAGTTTTAGGGAACTAGTCTAGCCCTGAGGCTAGGACACCCTAAGGTAAAAAAAAAAACTTGTATTTGTCACAACTGATGGATTCAAATAAGCTGTGGTGTGATTGTTATGTTTAATCTTCCTACTTAAATTTAGTTTTGACTTATCTGATATGTAGTTTGATTACATGATAAAAAACATTTGTACTTTTATCATGTAAACTTTTGTACTTCATTGACATATTAATTGGTTCACTTAGGAGTTAGGAACTTATAAAAGGACTTACATAGCATGCCGTTGAGTAGAAAGAATGTTTTACTGCTGAGTAACTCTTTTTTATTTTGAAGTCAAAGACATAAAGAGGAGAATTAGCTCTATTTGGATTAGCTGTTTTTGGAGGTATTTTTCAAAAACTTTACTGTAGTTGTGTATATCAAAATCTTTTAGATTTTTTTTTGGATTGTTTTTAGAGGTATTTTTAAAATATATTTTGGGATATGTTTATAATTTACAACTTTTTTGGGGTTTTTTTTTTTAATTTTACACCACCCATCACCACCCCCTCCGTCCTCCTCCCCCCTCTCTCCTTTCTCTTCCTCTCCTCCTCCCCTCTGTTTCCTCCCCTTCCTCCTCCTCCTCCTCTTTCTCCTCCTCCCTCTTTCATCTCCTTTCTCCCCCCTCCTTTCTCCCAACCCCAAACCCCTCTCCCAATCATGAGTGGTGACTGCGACTCTCGTCACCACTCTAGCCACCACTTTCTTGGTCGCTACCAGAAAGGTCGCAACCAGAAGCCATGAGTCACGGCTAGAAGGTCACGGCCTCTCTGGTTGTGATCAGATTTGATCACGACGAGGAAGGTTGCGGTCAGTGGAGGGGAGCAAGAATGGGGGTGGGGAAAGGGAAGGGAGAAGGAGAGAGCGGAAAAGGAAGAAAGGAAGAGGAGGAGAGAGCGAAGAAAGATGGGGAGAGAGAGAGAGAGAGGAGAGAGGAGGGAGGGTCGTGAGTGTGGAAGTGGTGGCGATAAGGTGGTAGTGGTGGTGGTGGAGAGTGATGGGTGGTGGTTTTTTTTTTTTTTTTTGTATATTTGGAGTTGTTTTTGATATATTGTATGGATGTGATGTTTTTAGAGTTGTTTTTGTTTGTATATTACTGTAACATTTTATATGAAAAACTTGTTTTTTAAAAATTGAAGAATCCAAAAGTAACTAAAGTTGTCTTCTTTCTAGGCATTCCATGTAACTTGTTTAATCTAATGAGTGTCCTTGGACCACAGGTTACATGGGATTTAGGTTTTTTTTTCTGGATAAAGTTTAAGTGTTAATTTTTCAAAAACATTGAATAAGAAGTTATAAATGATAAACCATCATAGTCAGTGACTCAGTGACGTGTGTTAATCACTACCCTTAAGAAACTATTTTAAAGAATCCTAAAAATGCATAGCCAGATCACAATTGATAGACTTATTTGTTTTTTAGAAAATTATACAAAAGATAAATACCTAAGGGGCAACAACTTTTAAAATGACCCATATAAAATAAAGGATTAATTTTTTATACACTGACGGTGTATACACTATCATTATTGGATGCGTGACAAATTATCTAAATTTAAATTTAAAATTTAAATTTTACTCATGTGTCATGCATCCAACTATGATAATGTATACAATGTTAGTGTATACAAGATTTACTCTAAAACAAATGACCAGATAGTTGTAGAGTCAGCTATTATAGGCTAAATTCCTCAAACATACACATTTAATGAGTTGGCAAAATTACTTTCAAATAATAATTTGTGAGATGAAAAATTGTACATCATAAGATAGTGTAAATCATAAATATTATGATCAAATATGAACTAACAATAAGGCAATATCAATTGTTTTGTAATGATTTCCAGCTTACAATCTTACAATTGTCAAAAGGACTAAAACTTACCATTAACATTGGCGTGGAGGAACTACCTCTCGCTTCTAAGAAAATTTTTATTTCTATGTTATCAG